CAGAGGGTAACTTGGATAGGCTGAAGTCAAATAGGTAAAGCTGGAGATCTGGATTGGGTTTTACATGTTGGGAGGTCTGTGTTTAAATTATAAAGAATAGCTTAGATATCTCTGCTGGGTCATGTGTGACCTGTCCCTTGATAGTTTAAAGCTCAATGTACAGTCTACTCTTTAAAAGTCACAACTTTCCTACCTAGATGGGTGTGGGCCTTGTTACCTCTTTCATAAAAGAGCTGTTTGGTATGGATGGACATGTCGATTTGGGTTGACTGTAATGTCAGTACTTGTTTAGGAATTTGAAGTATTTTGAGATATAGTGGGTTATCGTGGTTTTGTAAAGGTAGTCTAAGTGAGTCTATTGGTGTAAGACGGTACAGACACCTTTCATTTTTTGTCACTATGTGAAGCAATGGAAATATGTTCACCTGGAATGGTGGCTTTATGGGATGTCCACACTAAGGAGAAATCAGTTATGGTGTTCATTACAGATGAAAAAAAAAAATTGGTGATAGAGGACAAGTCGGAGGCCACCGCTAGATCTTGAAGTAGAGACTTGTTTAGTCTGCAAGGAGGGGTGCAAACATCAGGTTGACCCCAATTCTAGGACATGGATATGAGAGCATGGTCTGACCAGGTGATCACATATTTTGCGGACTTCAGTAGTGGTATGAGGAAAAGCATAATAAAAATAAAGTTCAGGCTGGAAAATGTTTTGTTAGCTGGGGAGTAAAATGGAAAATCGGACAGTGGGGTGCAGGAATCTACTTTGTGGTAGTGTTTTAGGAGTTCTCTGCATTTCTGGGAGGATTTCTCCAATTGGGAGTAGAAAACTGGTGTAACAAAAGATTTCCTGTCTTGGAAGGGGGAAAACAAAATATAAAAATCTTCCAGTTACGATGTCAAAGTAGTGTAGAGTCACTGCGATGGAAAACCTTTTTGATGAAGGAATGTTGGGGGTATATAGACATGATTACTAGGTCCTTAGCCCTGAAATTTACCATTTCAGGGCCAAGGCCCTGGTCCGGTGGGAGGAGCTCTCTGTCTGCGCTGGCCCTGTTCTGTCGACACTGAGAACTCATCGACCGCGCGTACCTCTGACGTCGCATCCGGGTACTGCCAGTAGGTCAGCTTCACATAAGGACCTTCCACGCATGCGTTGCCACTCACCGAGCCTTACATCCCCACACTGCGTCTCTTTCTCATTGCCTTTAGCTTCTCCAACTACACACAGCTCCTGTCCAGTTGAACTACCATGCACTGCGCTTGCGTGCCCTTCTCGTTGAGTTTGCGCTTGCGCTGTCCATATTTTGTTTTAAAGAGCTTGATTTATTTAATATAGAAGTTTATTTATATATTTATTTTAATAGTTGAAATGCACAGCGCAAGCGCAGTATATAGTTTGCGAACTCGACGAGAAGGGCACGCAAGCGCAGTGCATGGTAGTTGAACTGGACAGGAGCTGTGTGTAGTTGAAGTTAATGGCCGTGAGGGACGCAGGTGCAGTGTGGAGGTGTAAGGCTCGGTAGGTGGCAACGCATGCGCGGAAGGTCCTTATGTGTAGCTGACCTACTGGCAGTACCCGGATGCGACGTCAGAGGTTCGCAAGGTCGATGAGTTCTCAGTGTCGACAGAACACCGGCGACTGCACAGAGGACCTGTGGGCAGTCGCAGGCCAGCTAAATTAGGACCCCACCTGGAGCTCCTCCCACCAGACCATCGCCGACTCGCCGTTGCTCTCCCACACAGCGCGACTTCACCAGCGAGGCAACTAACAGTGAGTGAGGGCCTGGGGCCCCTCATAAGAACGATTTATTGTATTAGCAGGGGAAAATAGTAAATTATTGTCTGCAGTGTGTACTCTATATGTACTACATATAGAGTACACACTGCAGCAATAGATTTAATATTATCCCCTGTTAATATGAATGGATTAAATGATCCCTAGTACATAACATGTAATTGTACTACGGATCATTTAACCCATTCATGTTAGTCGAGGAAAATTGTAAATCTATTGCTGCAGTGTGTGCCGTATATGTAGTACATATATACAGCACACACCTCCACTACACTACAGCAATATAGTTACAATTCTCCCCTGCTAACATGAATAGGTTAAATCATGATCCATAGTGCATAACATGTAGTTGTATTATGGATCATTTAACCTATTCATTACTGCAGTGTACTGGAAGTGTGTACCAGGTTAAATGATCCATAGTACACACTTCCAGTACACTGCAGTAATAGAGTTACATTTCTCCCCTGCTAACATGAATAGGTTAAATGATCCCAGAGGCACATGCATGATCGGATTTGTAGTTTCACGACAGCTGTGTGAAAGCAAATACAAATGTTTTATTGTTCTAAAACAGTCTTAAATTAAAGTTCTTCATAATCATAAAGAAATTGGCCTAAAATCATTAGTCTGCATTGTTTTTTTTTTATAATGTCACCTGTCCCTTTAAGAAAAAGTATCGGTAATTGGTATCGGCAAGTACATGAGGGGAGGTACTTGTACTTGGTCTTGAAAAAGTGGTATCGGGACATCCCTAGTAAAAATGGTATATCTGCCCTTTGGTTCCAGGTATAAGTAAGAAACCATCAGGGGACAGTGTTTATGGGTTAATATTGCCACCCCTGCAGATTCAGACATTGCCGAGACTAAATAAGCTGTAGGGTATAACGATGTGCATGGTTACATGGTTAACAAGAATAAAAATGTATTAAAAGTTATGTCAAGAGTGTTTCTTCAGTTCTTTAAACTTATTTTTTAAGGGGATTGAAACCTTTTACATTTATGGAGAGTATAGTAACCATGGGGTGGAAAGGTATCATGCTTTTGTGTACCTGGAATCCATAGGGCAGGGGAGTGCTAATGGAACATTACAGAAAACAAATATCTTGGCAGAACAATAAGATAACTTGTCGTACAAAACAAGTGAAACTCTACAAAGGACATCAGTTTAGAAATTGAGAAAGGATAGGACAGCCTGGAAAGGGAGGTGGTAAACAAAATGACAGAAGAAGAGTGAGGGGGACAACGGTGACAGGAAATGTGTAAAAGGGGTTGAAGGAATAAAAAGATGGAAGAGAAGAAACAAAGAGGGGTAAGAGTACCATTTTGCAGGAGATAACTAATTGCAAGGAGGTCCCAGTGGTGATGTCCCAAGACCTGCACTGTAAGAAAGGAAACATACTTGAGATGAAGGGAAGAGGTTGTCCCCGAGCTCCAGGAAGGAGACTTGAGCAGGCATCCTAAGAAAGGAGTCCTTGGACAAGACTATATGTTGGCAGGTCAATGTGCTGTAATCTTTTACCATAATCCATATAAATGGATAGCCCCATCTTTAAGGAACTTGTTTTTCCCTATGTCTTTTAAAAGAGATGTTAGGAGGCAAAGCTTGTATTGGTTCAGCAACATGGTAGGGTAGAGGTAATTTAAGATTTGAAAGGAATGCCCCTAAAAAGAATAAGTAAGGAAGTTCTGCATAGCTTATAGAATATTCACTTTGGCTTCCTAATACAGGCACCTTTTAGTTTTTTCATCACCTGGGGAAGGCCAATACTAGGAGGTGACGTTACCCCCTTTGTGGCCTGGCCTGGTTTGGATCCTTCCTTCAGATGCTGGGGCAGTAAACGGATGTGCCAGGATATGTCCACTTGACCAGTTCCTGGTTCTTAAGCTGCTTATGTACAGGGGGAGTGTTTGGGGGCATGCTGATACCTCTTCTGGCCAAGAGTTGTTAATAGCAAAAAAAGAGATAGATGGGACTTTTAAGGTGTCAAAAAATGTTTTGTGACACCTTAAAAGCCCCATCTATCTCTTTTTTTACTGTTTACCTATATTAGGGGTGCGGTGTCCTTGTTCATGTAGTGATTCAAAACTTTTTACCAAGAGTTGTTAATAGTTAAGGTACTTGAATGCATTTTTTAGAATTTAACTCCTGAATTTACTCTCACTTTAAGCTGCCATACACTGCTCGAATTTCAACGGAGTCCTGATGAAGTTTGAGCAGTGTGTGTGACCCGCTCGAGCCACTTTTTATTTTTTTTTATTTTTTTAATCGAAGCCTATCCGAACCACCTTGGCCCACCAGTGACTGCAGCTAGTCAGCTGCAGTTTTTGTTTTGTTGTGCCTGTCCCTCAGTTTCAACTGCTTTAGAACCCATTGAGGTGCACAGGTCTTTCCCTTCAAATGCTAGTCTCTGTTTGTACTGCTTTCTACAATGCAGCAGGTGTGAGATGGCAGGGGTTATAGCCTTAATGGGGCAGTACCAGTTTCTGTGTCTCGTGTCCATTTTTTCCTGTAGGCAACAGCAGGGCCGCCAGAGCCCCATTGTGTCCGCAAGGGAGGCCCAAGTTTGGCTTGGAAGCAGGATGAGTTCCCAACACTGCATACAGCACTCAGGCTTTTTCCCTGCATGTCCACCATCCCTGCCTCCCCAGTTACCGCCCCCTTTGCTAGTCACTCAAGCTTTTCTTTTTTCTGTTATGCTGTGGGCCAAGTGTTAGAACTACACTCTGGTTGCTCGAGGGCTGCTTTCTATGAAACTTGTGCTTGCCCCACCCCTGGCTTCTCACCAGGCAGCTCTTAACATTTCCGTGAGCCCTGTCAGGTAGACTGTGTGTGACCCAATGATTTCTAATGGCAACCCTAGTCAGGAGTATAACACTAGTTTGCTTAATTATCATCATGCGGTGTCCTTGTGTGGAGCTAAGCATTTTACAGTAAGTACAAAAATCTTATTTTTTCATGCTACTACTTAGGCTCAATCTAGTTGTCCCCTGTAAGATGACAAATCTTCACTTTTTGAGTTCAGTTCCACCGTGGCTGTGGGCCATGTGTAGTACCTCTTTAAAAAGTAGTCAGATAACTAAAAAAGTAATTTTAACATTAAAAAGTAATTATAACATTAGTAACATATTAGTAATAACCCAACCTTACTATACAAACTGTACTACTAGAGTAATTTTATTATATATTTTTTTTCAACAGTCAAAGACTGGAGGAGGTGGAAGACGCCGCGGTGGACAGAGGCATAAAGTAAAATCTCAAGGGTCTTGTGTGGCCCCAGCAGGAGGTTGCTGAACTTGACCGATCAATTCATGTGTTCTTTCAACAGCTTGAACATGCCCTCACCACTGTTTACTGAAGAGAAGCAGCACACTCCCAGCTGTCCTGCAGTTTGTGTACATCGGCTCCATTAGAATGCACTGCTTTACTATTGAGCTGTGACTATGGTGACCAATGATTTGTCATTGTGGTTTTGTATCCTGGCTCACAGTAAAGAAAAAAAGAATGAAGTACACCCACAGCAGAATTGTATCATTAATTTACACAGTCTTACTTTGAGATGCCAAGTCATGATTGTCCGCCATGTAACAAAAAGAAATTGGACATGGACAACTGGACTATCATATCAAATTGCTCTTCTTAGGTAGAAGGTAATACTTCGCTTCCCTAACATTTCCAAGAAAAGACTAATCATAATAAATATGTAGTTTTGTATGATTATGGGATTGTACATATTGTGTTGCCATTTCAGTGATTTTCTTTGTGGTGAATAGCAAAGTCTACTTTTTAAGATCTTTTCTTTTAATGATATCTAGGGGTTTACGTTTATGTTCTTGAATGACCTTCCTGAATTTTTAATGACCCCTTGTATATCCTTATGTGGCAGCTTGTTTCTCTCTGGCATGTTGAAGATATCTCCTTTAAAGTGGATTCAGATTCCTCATTGTTTAATTTGTGACATGGTCACAAAAATGGCTTTTACAAACACATTTTTGTTTGCTGGAATTACCCTTTTAAAGCTGGCTCTGCAAATACCACTCATATGCAAGTTCCATCCCATATGATATTCACTTATGAACAGCTTATTTTCTGGAATGGGGCTTGTGTGACACAATCCAGACAAATATGATTTATGATTTAATGTGTCTGCAGGCTTAATGGGGCTTGTGTGACACAATCCAGACAAATATGATTTATGATTTAATGTGTCTGCAGGCCTTGGCCGTTAGTTTAAAAAAAACCACTATTTTTTGTTGCGGTTTGGTTGTGATACATTACACATTTATACTCCCTCTAATTCATTTAAATTACAAACACCCCTTTTGGTTTTGGTGCATTATTGTTTTCCTGATTGTTTTTTTTCCCCTCAAAGAACATTGTTTGGAATACCTTATTTGACCTGTGCAAAAGAGAAGGATTGCTTAACCTAGGTTGAAAACAGGCACGGGTCCATCAAGTTCAACCAGTAAATGCATTTTCTATTGCAATCCATTAAAACACATATCAATACATGTTGTCATAATGTGCATTGGCTTGCTGGTCATAGGCTTCTATTCATTTCACTGGAAAAGGCATTAGGAGAAAATAAGTTATTTTTTTCATCCCTAATGTGAGGTCAGCTTCCTGATGAACTATTAATTTAATCTGTGTTTGCCCAAGTCTTTAATGATGATACAAGATATTGGTTATTTGTCTCCCAACCCAACATATTATGGCTCAATTTTTTTCCTTTTTTTAGTTTTAGTATGGGAACAGACATAGTCTGTAAACATTTTTTTTTTTAAATCTATTTTAAAGGGGAGTTCATCCTGATGGGTACATATCTGCTTATGGGGTTTAGGTTTTACCTGAATATCTAAGGTTTGGTTACAAAGCCAATGCTTGGTCCACTCTTTGGTTTGTTAGTTGTGGCTGAATGCCAGTTGGCTGGCAAAATAATCCTCAAATATTCTGTGTATTGAAATGCTAATGCAAATGAAAGTTTGCATGCCAACTTCATCTTTTTATTTTATTGTATAATGGAAGGGGTGTAATTTGTTCACTCATATCTTTTTGAATGCATTATCATCACCAGTGACAAAATTTGCCTCCGCCAAGCCTCGCTCCCCCTGCTAAATTTTCTGTAATGTCTCATGAATAAAATATATATTTTAATTGCAGCTTAGCGGTCCTTAGAAAAAGGTGCTGCATTTTTTTTTCTTTGTTTTTTTTCCTCCTCTGTTACCTGGTAATCTTGCAAATAATACATTTCCTGTTTCTGGTTAGCTACACTCGCTTCTCCACTGTATCCATGGATGGGGCCATGGCTGTCACCCAGACTGCACTTTAAACATCTCTATCTTTGTTTATCTCCATTACATGGGGGATGTAGAGATCAGTTGTTCACACCCAAACGATAACCTTGCTATTGCTTCTAGTTCATCTCACAGGGAGTGACAAGGACACTGCATTTCTGGCAAGATCAACAGGTATTTTCCGTACTTGCTGAAAATGTTCTTAGATGTAGTGGCTGTATTGTCACTTTTTATTCTAATGACTGGTAATCTGTAACATGCTGAACTTTTGTTTTTGGGTTTAGTTATTCTTTAAATTTGTGTTTACTATGCAGTATTTCTCTGTCTGGAGAAAATCTTTGCATGTTCTGCCAAGGAGGCAAACTTGCATCTATAAACATCCTTCCACCTCTGCAGATACTCTGCCCAACTGGTTAAGGATGCGATGGGACAGGTTAGCTTTATCTTCCCGAACCGCTATAGATCTCCAGAAATGAAATGCCTCAGGGGGATGTCGCAGGATATATAAACATGTCTCAAATGAATTTGCTTATATGTACATGAATCATCCAGCTGCTGCTTTGTGTGCGCACATAGTTACATACATAGTTACATTGTCTTTATTCCACCTCTAATACTCAGGTCCATCAAGTCCAACCTTTGTGTGAATGTGTGTGATTGTGCATTTGTATATGTGTACACGAGTCCCCTTTCCGTCCTTGTTTTTAAGTGTACCTGTACCCCTGTATGTTGCGTTCTTTGAGGAAGGTATCTAAATGCTTTTTGAATGATTAAATACTCTCAGCTGATGCCACTTCTTGTGGCAGCGAGTTCCAGACTTTAACCGCTCTAACTGAAAGGAAGCCCCTACGCCTCTTGTGGTTAAATCTTTTCTCCACCAGTTATTTACTGTAAAAAGTTTATTGCTAATGTTGCCATTACCCCTAAACATTTTGTACATCAAAATCAAGTGCCCTCTTAAAGGAGAACTATGAGGTGAGTGAAAATCACTCAGCCTCATAGTTCGAGCCGATGTGTGACAATGAAACTGTCATACGTCGGCTCAATCGAACGGGAAGTGAGCGAACACATACCGTCGCTCGCTCACTTCTCGATCCTGTCCCTGCAGAGAGCCGTGACTGTCACTCACGGCTCCCTGCAGGGATTCCCCCTCTCCCCTGTCCGATCCTCCAGCAGTGATTGGCGGAACGGATGGGGGAGGGGACGGGTACAGCCAGAGGCTTAACTAAAACCTTCAGGGCCCCGGTGCAAGAAACCATGAAGGCCCTCTGTCGAGAACACCGACCCAGTATCTGCGCTTACGTACAGGCGGGATTAACGAGAAAACCTGCATTTATTTACAAAGTATTAGTTTGTAATGGTTAATTGTGACCGTTAATAATATGCCGTCCATGGACGTAAATGATTGATGGCAGTAAATGATGGATGGAATATTATTAACGGTCACAATTAACAATTTAAACAAAATACTTTGTAAATAAATCCCTGTTTCCTCGATAATATTCGTCTGTACGCAAATGCAGATGCTGAGGTCGACAAATTCGACTACATCGGCGTTCTCGACAGAACACCGGTATCTGCGTTTAGTATCGGGCCATTTTCACAAGTATGAGTACTTGTGAAAATTCCCAGTATTGGCAGTGGTGTATCCTTTTTTTTTTTTTTCTATTCAATACTCTTTTTATTTTAATAATACAATACATAAAACAAACATATACATCATGGGCCAACCCCAAACGCTCTTAATATTGTCCATAGATAATCCCATTCCACACTATCAAACCCCTAACATTCCAAGATATTATAGATATTCTTTTTTTCTTATCCATTGAATTTAACTACCATATGTTATAATACAAAGCAATTGGGCGTAGCCCCCCAATATGAGCAAGACTTTGAGACTTGAGAGACAAGGAGAGGAACAGACAAAACAGAACAAACAAACAACGACAACAACAAAAACAACAACAAAGAACAAAAAAACAAACAAAAAAAGCAAAAAAAAACGCTATGCACCTTACACAACACAGTAACAAACACACAACAAAAACAACCCATTGCTACATTGACCCCCCACCAAAATATACTCCACTCAGGAGCCACATGAGGGGTTAGAGACATTAACTTCACCCACCCATTCATCTTACACTCCAGATCCCGGCGTGGTGTGTCTAATACTCAAGATATACTCCATCTTCATGACCCACATTAAATCTCATAGCTTCTAGCCTCTTATATCACTCATTGAGTATTTATCCAACCAGGCCGAGACTGCTAAGGGGGTTTCAAAAAAATGAGTCCTATCATCAGTAATTATGCACATTTTTGCAGGATATAGCATTGAATACTGTCATTTGGCGCATTCGTTTTTTCACTTCCTGGTATTGAGCTCTTTTTTTCTGAACTTCCTGTGAAAAGTCCGAGAATAGCATCACTCGCGCACCTGCCACAGATATAGCTCCCAATTCACGAACTTTACGGAGGATTACCTCCTTATCTCTGTAATTAGTCACTTTAAGCAACATAGTCCTTGGGAAATTTCCCTGTACCTTCATATGTGCAGGAACTCTATAAGCACTCTCAATCATAAACATAGGAGATAATTGTTCTTTTCCTATTGTCTCTACGATCCAATTTTCCATATATGCCACCGGATTTAACCCCTCAGCCTGTTCAGGCATTCCCACCATTCTGATGTTATTGCGCCTTGCTCTGTTTTCCAACTCTTCGATCTTACTAGAGGTAATAGTAACTTTTTGCAAAGCCATTTTTAGATCGGCACATACAGAAGCATTTACATCCTCCAGCTTGTTAATTCTGTCTTCTGCCTCCGTCAGCCTTTCTCTAAACTTCTGCATATCTTGCCTGAGAAGGGATATATCTATCCGTGTAGCTTGTATTTGCTCCGCCATGGATGCCAGAGTGGTGTTACTGGCTTGGACTGCTGAAAGCACATCCCTGAGGGTAGGGTCACCTGGGGTATCAGAGTCTTGCAGGGATAGCCGTCTATTAGATATATCAACAGTCCCCCCTGTGTCCCCCCCTTCTTCCACAAACAGATCCCTGGACCCCTTACAGAGAGACTTATCTCCCAAACTTAGTCGCATTTTATTTTTTTGGATGTCATCAATACCTGTGGTATTTCCTCTAGCAAACTTTTCCAGTTTTGAAGCCACTTCCCTCTGCTTCTCTTTA